GTTGTTCGCTCTGAGTGAAAGTCAACCTTTTATATATGTGTTTTTTTATTGTTTTATCCTTTATATTTGGTTTCATATTGGTTGATGTGGAGTGAATTTTGATATAAAAAGTGCGCTGTTTTTTTTCCTTATTTACTTATTTTGACACACACACACACACACACACACACACACACACACACACACACACACACACACACACACACCACACACACACACACACACACACACACACACACACACACACACACATATATATATATATATATATATATATATATATATATATATATATATATATATATATATATATTCATTTAGTGTTGATTGATAAGTATTAATATTTAGTAAATACCAAAATTATAAAATTATTATCAGCTCATCTTCATTAATATTAAGTATCAATTCGGCGACAGTGGGCGATATCCCATATACAATTAATCTTAATTATCATTTCCAAAACACATAACTGGCAACAAAACCGTGGTCGGAATTTCCCAAAATGAATCGAAATTGCATAACAAAGAACATATAATTAACAAAAATACACGTATTTTAAACTCCTCAAGTCAAGTCCTAAACAAGAGTAGGATTAATATTCGTAAAATTATCCATTACTCACGCATCTGATATTCGATCGATGAACATCCATCTGAGAACATTAAGTAATATTAAAGTTATTCTAATAAACAACTAATGAGAAAATGTTATTCATAATTAAGTAATATAAAGTTATTCTAATAAACAAGTAATGAAAAAAATATCATTCGTAATTAAGAAATAATGTTATTCTAATAAACAACTAACGAAAAATAACTTATTCATAATTAAGTAATAATGTTATTCTAATTAACAAGTAATGAAAAAATATTATTCGTAATTAAGAAATAATGTTATTTTAATAACCAGATACGTTATTCATAATCAAGTAATAGCTATTCTAATAAACAAGTAATGAAAAATGTTATTCATAAATAAGTAATAAAGTTATTCTAATAAACAAGTGATTAATTGAGCAATAAAATTATTCTAATAAACAAGTGATTAATTAAGTAATAAAATTATTCTAATAAACAAGTGAAAAAATTGATACAATCAAATTATTCTAATAAACAAGTGATTAATTAAGTAATAAAATTATTCTAATAAACGAGTGATTAAGTAATAAAGTTATTCTAGTAAACGAGTGATTAATTAAGTAATAAAATTATTCTAATAAACGAGTGATTAATTAAGTAATAAAATTATTCTAATAAACGAGTGATTAAGTAATAAAGTTATTCTAGTAAACGAGTGGATTTATTATCGTCATGGTTACCCTCCAATACACCAGGAGAGGGAAGCCAAAACACCCGACGGAGAACACCAAGGAAATCCGAGTTGGCGAAGGCTCGTACACTCTCGGGATGTCACCGGCTGCGTCGCGTGGGTCTCCCTCCCCACCGTCTGTATTTTCACGCCTTTGTGACTATTCACAATATTGATTTAACATGTGCGTTTGCCGGGACTCGATGCAACCCAAGAAGACGCTTTTGAAGTTGGGCGGAACCGCGCTTAGGCCGCCCGCGATCTCGGGCTGGGCTGAGGTTCTCGAAGGCGGCGTTTGGGCGCGTTCGTTTCGCAGGGTTTGGCGTTCGTTGAGGGAGGTAGAAGGAGGGGTTCTTTTCGGAGGGAAGAGCGACTTTGGGCGGGGGTGTTCGCTATGTCGGGGTCGGGCGATAGTGTTTTGTTTCTGTCAACGGGCCAGTCGCTTCTTCGGCGGTGCGGCCGGATGAGGCTCCAGAATCCCTCTTTACATGTCTCGCCCGTGTAAAGAATCAAAGGAATTTTTGTGGTTACAATGGACTTTACATTGTCGGTTGTATAAAAGTCACGGTGCGTATAGAAAAGAACCTTTTAAATACGTATTATGTTCTCTCTCTCGTTCGCTCTCACTCTCTCTCTCTTTCTCTCTCTCCCTCTCCCTTTCTCGTTCGTTCTCTCCCTCTCTCTCTCTCTCTCTTTCCCCCTCCCTCCCCTCCCCTTTTCCCTTCCCCTCCCTCCCACTCCTCCCTCCCTCCCTCCCCTCCCTCCCTCTTTTCTCCTTCCCAATCCCCCTCCCCTCCCCCTCTTTCTCCCTCTCCCCCCTCCCCCTCCCCTCTCCCTCTCTCTCTCTCTCTCTCCTTTAATGCGTAAAACACACTGCGGCGTTTTCACAATTCCCGCGCTTTCGTAGCCTCAGAAACTTTTAATTCCAATGGCAGCGTCCCATTCAGAGCTTTTACTCATCAGCCTTTTCAAAGTTAAGTCGCCGCCACAAGCTTCTGGAAGCCTTTCGAACACGTCACCCGGAAGAGGGGTAAGAGAGACAAAAAAGAAGAAAGAAAGAAAGAAAGAAAGAAAGAAAGAAAGAAAAGAAAGAAAAAAAAAACGGGGAACACGCGAAAAAAACAGAAAAAGTTTTTTTTAAAAAATATACAATGTGGAAAAGAAGAAAGATAAATAGAGAGAAGAAAGAAAGGAAAGAGGGAAAAGAAAAGCAAAAGAAAAGGAAAAGGAAAAAAAAAATAAACGGAAAAAAAAGAAAGAGGAAA